TAATAATAAAATAATAATAATAAAATAATAATAATAAAATAATAATAATAAAATAATAATAATAAAATAATAATAATAAAATAATAATAATTTGTTTTATAACGCTAATAAAGAAATTATAAACTATATACAAATACTAACAAATCTATAAAATATATAATAAAATAAATAATATAAAAAAAGTAATTCTATTACAGTACTAGTGTAAATACTTAAAAAAATACACTAATAGTAAGTATGATTAAGAAAGATAAAATAATAAACAATAGAATTGATATAAAAGAGTTGTTAAAATGTAACCTCCAATGTAAAGAAGCCCCTAGAGGCACCCGTGTCCTATAAACTTGAATAAAAATTGTTTCCCAAGACAGGAACTTTAACTACAAAAAAAAAAAAAAAAGAGTTGTTAAAATATATAAAATCTACATTTTTAAATTTGCAATAAATAAAATATTTGTAAAATTATTGGTCGACATTGAATATGCGAGATGTCGATCCCACTTGTGGGTAGTATTAACTCGTTTATAACGGTTTTCGACATAATAAACAATCATTTTTGATAATTAATAATGACTGAGAATAAAAGCAAATCAGAAAAACTTTTCCAAGAAATTGGAGAGATTGTTGAAGAAGAAGATGACACAAAACCTACAGAAATTGAAAGTTATTGCATGAATTGCGAACAAAACGTATAAAGCTTTTATAAATTTGAAAATTATAACAACTAAAAGATCTATTATTTATTAACGTTAATTTTTTTTTCATTTCAAAGGGAATTACAAAATTATTATTAACAAGGATTCCACATTGGAGGGATATTGTGATCATGAGTTTTGATTGTGAGGTAATTCATTCAGGTTAAAATTTTGTTATATGATGAACTACTAAACGGAAATCAAAGTAAGAATTTAAATTAATAAGGATTTCCAAAATTATTTAGCATTGCGGCTTCAGTAATAATGAAGTTCAATTTGCAGGAGTAATTGCTGAGAAAGGTTGTGAGTACACATGTGAAATTAACAATAAAGATGATCTTAATCGTCAACTGGTGAAATCAGAATCAGCATCTATCAAACTTCGAGAACTTGATCTAGAGATACCTGCAACCACAAAACGAGGACGTTTAACCACGATTGAAGGAGTAATAACTAGTATAATTGAAGATTTATCATCAGGACAGCCTGATAGAAAGCTTAATGATGAAGATATATATAATAAAATTGAAGCTATAATAAATAAACTTCATGGTTATTTGGATAACAAAGAAAATTTTTCTATATCAGTTGATGATCCTAGTGGAAACAGGTAAAGAGGCTAGCAATTGAAATCAGGTATCTATGAAATAATCATAGACTGACCTTTTTAGACTATAGTTATATCGAAAATTTGGCTGCACCTAATCCAGATCCCAAACTCCATATTCAACATTATAATCGAACGCGTGAAATGAATGTTGCATTGGGATTAACAATTCCTGATGAAACTTGTGAAGCTCGTAACGATGATAATGATGAAGTTGTTCCAGAAGTTATGTCATTCCCTGCTAATTGTTCATATTGCAACGCGCCTAGCGACACGAAAATGCATATTATAAATATTCCACATTTCAAGGAAGTGGTGATAATGTCAACTACATGTGATGTAAGTAATTGGTTAATTTGGAGAACAAATGTATTTATAGTCAACCATTCTTGATAATATATATTTGCTGAAAAAATAGTCATGTGGTTACAAGTCAAACGAAGTCAAAGCTGGTGGTCCAATTGCACCTAAGGGTAAAAAAATTACCCTCAAGATGGAGGATATTGAAGACTTATCACGTGACATACTCAAGTCAGAAACATGTAGTTTATTAATTCCCGAGATTGAACTTGAACTTCGCTCAGGCACACTTGGAGGACGATTTACTACAGTTGAGGGATTATTACGACAGGTTCATGAAGAACTTCAAGACAAAGTTCCATTTGTTAGTGGGGATAGTGTAGAAGATGAACGTAAAGTGACATTTGAAAAATTTTTGACCAAATTAAATAAAGTAATTACAGGAGAAGCTTTGCCAATTCATTTGGTGCTTGATGATCCACTTTCCAATTCATATTTACAAAATCTTTATGCACCAGGTAACGAGACATTTAAGAATAATTGATGAGTTGAACAGGATATAATTGATCAAAGAATTAATTTTATTATATTTGATAGATCCGGATCCGAACATGCAAATAGAAATATATGAGAGAAGTTGGGAACAAAATGAATTTCTTGGATTAAATGACATTGTAGTGGATAATTGTGAAGGTTGAAAAAGAAATCATTTTCAATTTTCAGTTATCCACTACAATCCAAGAAAATCATATGTCTTTATTATTTATATTTATTTTTTTGTACATTATGTATTTTAAATAAGTATAATAAAAAATAATCTAATGATAATGACATTTTTGCAATATATGTACAATTGTAATATGGACCAAGTGAACTAATGAAGCAAAAAGTGAATAAATTTAATAAATGTCATGAATTTTTTTTATGTAGATCTTTTTCATAATTCGTTTCACTATCAGATTTACTATCTAAAGGTTTGCTTGTGTGATAGAAATACCGTATTACGCCGACCAAAACAAAGCAAATTGTTGATGCTCTAAATATAAAAGGGATATGTTCATTTTGAGTATTAAGATTGTAAGAACTTGATAGCTTTTCGTCAGCTTGTAGCTTATTAATAGTTGGAACGATTCCTATAAATATAGAGTTGGTAGGTTTCAACATTTCTGAGAGGGTTGGAGCTTGTAATTGGTTTTGAGAGCTGTTTAGATTCAAGGTTGGGATAGCATAAGAAGTTTTCAAAATTTTTTTCCTTCCAATGGGTGGATATCGACGACTAAAAGGTTGGCCTGGTGGAACATAATGAGGGTGAAAAGGAATCTGAATCGCTGAAGCATAACACCGATTGCTTAAACCTTTAATAATTAAGTTCTTTGTTAATTTTTGTTTTTGAGAGCAAAACATTTTTAAAAAATTTAAGCATTTTTGATGATTAATAATGAGAACGTTTTTTCAAAACCATTTTAATTTGATATATAGGATGATAGTCCAGATCTTAACCCATATTCGAAAAATTAGAGTTGATCACCATTTGTATCGCTATAAATAATGATAACAATGAGCAAAATTAACCTGCAAAATGTTGCTGACAAATTATTTTAAATAGAATTAAAATTTTGAAAATAACGACAATCGAATACGTACGTACGTATGATTATCTAAGAAACTATGTAAGGTAGGCACTAATGATAGGCATTACAGTATTCATTACCATTACGGCTACATAATATTTTTTTCTTAAGTTTCTTAATGAACCATTATTTTTCATTATTTCATGGAAGATTCATTAATGTTAAGAAACTTAAAAGTGAATAATATTGTACCCAGTAAATAACATATGTAGGTATTTTATACTGCGGGTTAAAGTACATACCAATCAGTGTTGGTCAAATTAGTGGTCGACTATAAATTTGCTGGTCATTGTCGAAGGGTTTCTGGTCAAACTGGTCTGGTCAAATTGGTCAAATGGTTTAGCAATATGACAATCAAGCAAATTTGATAATAGTTATTTGGTCTAATTGGCCAATTTTTTCTTATAACTAGACCACTTGACCAATTTGACCAATGTCAAAGATGCTTGACCAGACTGGTCATTGGTCAAACTGGTCTGATCAAATGGTCGAATTGGTCTGGTCAGCCCAACACTGATACCAATATACATTTTCGGTTAAGAAATGTTTATTAATTTGTACGTATTACCTGTTACTATATTACAACATATGTACATATTTTGAATAATGGGTCAGAATTAAATACTGTCGCCGTATTAGATACAAATCAAATGATGATAAAAGGCTTCGCTTTGACCTTTTATGAGTGATTTGATCTAAATTTGTTAATATTCTTCAAAGAACCATCGAGAAAGAATTTAGTATCCATGTGAATGTTATGCAAGAGGCGATATATGTATGAATTGTTGTACACGGAGCAGTTGGGACAAAATTGCCATTTTAAAAACAAATGCCCATAACAAGATTTTATTATGTATGATATATACTGTAATATTAATATATGTATATTTTTAATACGTACAACAAAATATTCTAGATTTCTAAAACTTAATATAAAAAATAAGTATTATATTAACCAATCAAATTGCAGTATTAACTTTTTATATTTTTCATATTTTTTGTAGCCAATAGGATCATCGTATTTTTTATTTCCCCCCACTCTCACGAGCTAAATTAAACAGAAATTAATTTAGAATGACATGAGGAAATTTCCATAGTAAATCGCAAAATTAGGTTCTTACTATGTAGCACTATTAACAAGGTTTTTTTTTGACGAAAATATGAAACCTAATTTTAGATCTAGAATATTGTCACCATCGCAAACAATCAAGATTTCCGCAAAGTTCGTACGTAGACTGTCAGTGGCATTACAGTAAAGCTATGTTGCGTATATAAACATAATCATTACAGGATAATGATAAATTTCATATATCGATGTTGATATCAATCCCATATATATACAGATATAGAGGATTTCTACCCTACCCGATATAAGAAAAGAAATCAAAAATCGTTAATATCTCAAAATTCTATTAAGAAAACCGGTGCAGATATCTTAATTAAAAATGTTTAGCTCCATACCCCTATGGGTATTTTTAGAAATATACATATATTTATATATCTGTATATACTACGTATACGTACATAATATGTGTGCTGCAGAGCAAAAACCTGCAACTGTCCATAGTAAATCAGTAAACTATTATGATCATCTTCGGGTTTTCGCTCTGCAGCACTCATTTAGGCGGAGTGTAAAATCGATTATGTTGTGTTATTGTCCATTACGGCACGTAGCGAAATTAACGATCATTTGGTCCCCAAATTTAGATTTGGTTACCATTATTTATATATTAAATCAATCAATGTTAAACCCCGAAAAGTTGTTTGGACCCCTGATACAGGCTAACCCATCTTCCCACCCCCGACGCATCTCATTAGACATAGGAATTATTAAAATGACGCATCATAACTTGGGGAATGTTGATTATCTCAGTAAATCTATAATTACATATTAGTAGTCAAATTTTTCAAATTTTGGAGCCATAATGCATAATGCGATAATGCAAAGCTTTATTATATAATATATATATATAATACGTATGTATAACATCACCTTACTCCTAATTTTATTTTAGCAACAAAATTTTTTGATAAATTGTTATTTCGCCAATTTTATCTTTATTATCATCTCAAATTAAAATCTATATTTAAATTTTTACTTTTTAATTACTATACTTATTATACTGCATACCAATAAATTCAGATGTATGCGACAAAGTTTTGGAACCTAATTATAAAATTTGTTAAATTAATGATAAGTGGTGAAGTTACTTTTGCAATCAACTTCCATTCTAGCAAATAACAATAAATGGTGGTTGTATACAAAATTATAATCATTATTAAACTTAAAATAATGTAATTCATTTTATTAACATATTAGAGTGTAGAGATCGCATATACAATGCGTCATGCCTAGATTCATAATCAAATTTTAGCCCTAATGCTAATTATGCAAAAAATTATTAATAACTGATTAATATCGTACGGTTCTACATCGCAATCAACTCAAAATCTAATTATAGTTTTAAACCGGGCGACGAAGTCGACGCATGTGTTATTCACTAATTATGATTATGTTAATTTTTTCACCATTTTTTATATATAAATATCTCGCCTCACCCGCTTCTTAGAATTCAAAAAAAATATATATTTTTTTCTCGATAACAAATAATTAAGATAAAAAAAATAACGATAACAATAAAATAATCTTAACCTGAAAATTAATCATGTCGCGATTTTTTTTTCTTACGCTACTTTTAATTTTTATTGGGTTTACTTCAGCTCGTAAGTTACATGTTATTAAAATGAATTAAATTAATTAAATGTATAATCAAATGTATTAAGCGACTGCGTAATATTGTATTTATATTTTCAGAGGTTCAAACAATCAATACACCTAATGGTAGAGTTGCGGTTGGTGCCTTGATTACAATCACTTGGACGTACACTCCGCAACCAAATCCACTTCTAGGCACTTTATATTGTATCAATAACTCGACTAAAAATACAACCACTTTAAGCACTACAATAAACCTCTCTACTCAATCTTACCCATGGACAGTCGATGTTCCTGTGGGCTTTTATTACTTTGCTCTCAACGATGGTTCTGGTGATAAGAACTCGGGACCTTTCGAAGTCTTTATTGCCGGACAAGCACCTGCTCCTGCTCCTGCACCTGCTCCTGCACCTCCACCATCAGGTCAAACGGGTGCTCCAGTTCCAGCTTCAGCTCAAAGTAATCCTTCCCCTGGTCCCGCTCCCGCTCCTACTCCCAAACCATCTGCTGCACCGTATGTATCTTACATGATTTATAACACAAGTTTTAAATATATAATTAACTTATCGTTATGTTCATTTTCCATATTTCTAGGGCAAGTTCTAGCTCTAACACCAAAGCAAGTACGACACCAGTCCAATTGAGTGCTGCTACAAGTTTCATTGGATCATCCATTTTTGGATGCAAACTTTTGATTACAGTGACAATAGTAATGGTGTACTTTATCTAATGTAAATATACTTATCGGCAAAACTATCTGAATTTGGGATTTGGAACAATTTTATTAATTATATTTGAGATTGGGAATAACTTTATTATATTTGGGATTTGGAATTTGGGTGGGATTTAGTTTTGCCAACAAGTATAAATATAAATTAGAAATTCTTTTATTGCTATTGAGAATACGCTTGTATTATAATATATATATGTAATGTAATTAATAAAAAATTTTTTTTAAAATTCTAAACTCATCCAACCGAGTAATAGAAATTGTATCCCTTTAGCGTTTTATCATATATATTGGTAACTACTGTATTTTCACACTTAAAGACTGTTTCCAAATGTATACATAACCTCAGTTTTTCTAAGACTTATCAAATGAATGCTCAAAAACCATCTGACTTATAATAAAATATATAGCTATAGATAATGTGTAATTTATTCTCTTATACTGTATCCGCGCTCCATACCAATAAACGGTCGATAAATAAATAAAAAATTGTGAAATCTTGAAGATTTCCTTGTTTAACTTTGACAATACTTACATAAACTAAAATCATTTCGTTATTATATTAGCGTTACATTACTCGTCTACAAATCACACTAGGATTTAGGATTAGAAACTATACAGTAGTATAACAAATATTATACCGTCAAACGCTATCGCTATGTATTCCCAATCCTAGGTCACACTGACAATATGGTCCTTAATTATGATTTGCTAAAAAATTTATCAAACGTATTTGATCATATAAATTTTCACTCATTGCTATCAATTTTATTAACCTATATAATAATTTAATCAATTCCTGTCAGATTAAAGTTCACCGAAAATTATAACTTTTCACTAAATTCAGTTAGACGATTCTTTGTAATTTCGGATCATCGTGACCTGACACTTCTTTTATTAAAGTATCATTATTGTGTGTCCATATGATAATCATTGTATTACGCGAACTTAAACGCGTAAATATATATGTTTGTTACTCCAAAATACAAAAACAGGTGCACGTGATAATGGACAAATTACGTTTTTGATACATTAGTATTAACCGAATAATAGGAGAATCAAAAACGTATACTAACTAAATCTAAATGTCCTCTGCTACGCTACTACAAGTCTTTATGAGGTTCTTTAAATTACCGTTAAATGAATTATTATTTATGGTTACAATAAAGTTTTCTCTTTTATATATAAATATCTCGTTTGGTCCGCTAGAAATGAAAGGTTCTTTTTTGCCTTATCTATTACGGAAACGAATAATTGAAGAAACAAATTATTAAAACCTAAATAATTATGTCACGGCTTATTTTTCTTACATTATTCTTGTTTTTTTTGGCTGGGTTTACTTCAGCTCGTAAGTTAATTTTTTGTATGCTAGCTAATGCATGTTTGATATAAAAAAAAGAGTTATATAATGATTATTATAAGTCAAGTAGGGATGTTATAGCTTTTTAATTTATTAACTAAAAAAAATTCTATGATTGTATATGATTCTAATTTATGTTTAACGAAATAAAAAGGTCCGATAACCAGAATAACATCCTAAAAGTTAATAATTGTTGACAGTGTGGATATAAGTCTAGCCATACGAACGTGAATAATCAATTCGAATTAAATATATCAAATAATTCTAACATTGTACATATATTTTCAGAGGTTCAATCAATTAATACACCTGGTTCTAGTGTTGCAGTTGGTGCCTTGATTACAATCACTTGGTCGTATACCCCACAAACTAATGCGCTCCCGGGCACTTTAAGTATCATCGACAGCACAACTAAAAATACTGTTGTTATTAGCAATACAATCAACCTCGCTACTAAATCTTACCAATGGACGGTCAGTGTTCCTGCGGGCACTTATTACCTTGCTCTCAACGATGGTTCTGGTGATAAGGACTCTGGAACTTTCACAGTCTTTGCTGGATCCAATCCACCATCCTCTCCTGCCTCCACTAGTTCTCCTTCTAATCCCAACAATCCAAATACTACCTCCAATGCCCCTACTGCTAGAAGTGGTGCTGCTCCGTAAGTATTTTATTATTTCGATTCGACTTTTATATCCTATAAATTATAAATTTTTTACACAATACTTACATTGTTTTAGGGCTAACATAAGCTTCACTGAATCAAGTAAACTTCTGTATAGCTTTATTTTAGTGGCAATGATAATGGTTTACTTTATTTAAAATTAACCATCCTAGAGAAATTTGTCTCAGATTTTCTCATTTCTATCTGCTAAATGATGCTCTTTAAAATGAATTTGTTATACACAAGATAATTATTACGTAATTTTATATATCATAATATAATTATTGGATTGGAAATAAACCCCAATTTTTTCTTTCTATAAATTTTTTTTTTTTTTGTCAAATTAAGAAATCGTATCATTTCGCGTATAAAGAAATAATAATATATATTATTATTATTATATGATTTAATTACTTTACATATACTTTCTTTACTATATCATAAACAATCGATATGATTATGATAATCTTAAAAGGATTACCAAGCGAAAATAAATATATAAATCATTATAATAAAAGATTTCCTGAGATTAACGATGTTACCCAAACTATTTGGAACGTCCCAAATTATGTGATGAATAATATCGCGTGAGGTATTTTTCTTAGTTATTGTGTGATGCTATTCATCACATAGTTTGTATAACGTCGCTACCTGAGATGTCGTTATTGTATTATACATTATTTGTACTCCTATCCGGCGTTGTCGTACAAAAGTTGGACGAAAGTTAGACAAAAGATAAAGGCAACTCCTTATTTTGTAACCCATTTATATATAGATCTATAAATAAATTTGACGAAAAAAAAGTATTGCCAATTCTCTTTATAACAACTGTCCTAGTGTTACCAATCTAAAAATATACTTCGCTATCTGGTTAAATTAGATCAGGTGTAACATAAAAAACATACACTCAAATCCTATTATGCGATGCGATAGAGTAAATTAGTAAATTATGCAATTTGAATGATGTCAATATGCGATGGATACGAAATAATTAAATAGAGAACGTGATTTTTTCATTTACAGTTGATACTGTCTAATTGCATATCTGTCAAACTGTCGAAAATTTTAAACCAAAAATTTTTTATACGTTTAGGAGTAGGAGCATATGCAATTATATGTATGCAATTAGACAGTACCGATTATTAAATTCAAGAAATTTAATGTTCTATTTGAGTTTCTAATAAAGTATATCTATATTATTCGATAAAATTATTCTTATATAGTAGCTTTTAGAAGCCTTTGTGGTTGTAACCATAGTATTTAATATTCTAATTTTTTACTTTTTTAAAAATTACATAATTTTTAAAATTAATTAAAATCAAATTTATTAGACATTAGATAATTATAACTAATAGAAATTTTACTTGTTTTTTAATATTAAGATCTTGTCTTATAACTTTATTATTAGTATTAGTATTTTACAATATATACAGTATATTAAACTACATATTTATATAAAGTAAATGCATCATGAACCTAAATTCAGTTTTATATATTTTAGCAAATTATTATATATATTGTATATATACATTGTTAAATCTAGAATCCTAATTTATATTTAATTTTAAAAACCTACTAATATATATATTTTTCATTTTGGCAGTTTTGTCATTATTTTTTATTTAAACATTATATTTTATACAAAATATGTTTAATTCTAATATTTTAAAATTAACATTTTGTAATTATTTCTATAAATACTTAAAATTTTTTTTTTTTTTTTTTTTTTTATAATGCCAATCGTAATACTTTATTTAATTAATACCGGATTAATATATTAGAGTT